TTTGCGATAACGTAAACCATTGATTGATAGAATTATCTAGGAGAGTCACCAAACTTGACGTCAGCTGGATCTACTATGATAACACTGAATATTGTTTCGTCGCTGGAAACTATGCTAGATGTAGGTGGTTTCGGCTAGTTTTTTGTATTTCATCCCCCTTTGTTTGTTCTGCTGCTGATATCACCATTAGAATCAACGGACATCACCCAAAACCGTTCTAATCTGCGATTGCGAATAAACAACGAGACGAGTGAATCCAAAAGTAACTAACCTGTATTTTAACCGTAAAATCCAGATATCTTAGGTCACTCCAGGGGAAATAACTCGTACCTAAAAATTTGCGAAGAATTCGAATCATTGGAGTGAATTCTCAGCTTTTAAAACAATCGTTACCGAAAAGACAAGCCGACAAGGACCACAAATGGTTGACGCAGAAGCAAGTGTGCGCGGCGACTTTGTATATTGTAGTAGGCCCTGATTCAAAGGATTTAAAATCCAATTTTGCTCTTCCTTTTCGTAGAGAGTTAGAAGACTCAACCAGACCACTTGTTCATCAGTGAATCGAGTATTGGTCTCACTCTGTTCAAAAAATACAAAGATTTAGGGAGATTTTATACCTTGCTATTCCCTTTCTCTCTGTAATGTTTTACATATTTTGTATAATCCAACTCCGTAGGTGATGTTTATTCCCTTCTTCTTTCACGGAGTCAGTTGTGGTGGTTTAATCTTTACTCTTCAGCTTTATTTCAGCCTCTGTCTACTCTGTGGTTAAAAATAACCTAACTGTTGGCTAGAGGTTGAATTTAGTTTTTAGCACCACAGTAGTTGATGAAGTGATCCAGATAAGTAGTAGAAGAGCGCGTAAATAGTGGTGATATATTGAGAATATCTTTTAACAATCTTTAGGCCTATCCACCCATAGTCGATCAAACACAGTAGCATCAACAAAGCTAATAATCAACATTTGCAAATCCCCAATCTATTCGGATTACTCCGATCAACTTTGCAGATTTTACATTTCATCTGGTTCGGAGTTTGGATTTCACGATCGATTACACCTATATCAGAGATTAAAATCTTCATAAAAGCATTCTCCTACTGTAAAAATCAGAACAATCGATTGCCTGTTATATGACAGCTTAGTTATCTCTTACCAGATTTTCTAGTTGAAACTGATTCTGATTTATCGCACATTATACCAAAGGTGATGATTAACATACCTATGCCAGTTATAAGAGAAATAAAACCGGACGAGCTCACAAATATAAGGATGCGAATTCGTCCAGAAATCTGGGCGGCGCCGCCATAAACACGTGCGAGCAAATTTCGAGGTGATTTATGTGTTGGTTGTCACTTCTATATACTGTTTTATTCGAATGCCAGTGAACCCGGATTTTGCATAAACCTTGGCCTACAAGATTTTCAGTAGCTCAAAGGATTATCCTGTCTATTTTTTTACTGTCACGGCATTTTAGACATCACATCTTACGCCGATTCAAAAGAAACCAACAATATATTAACGCAGATGTTGGTGGATTAACATATTGCACTTTTTGGACAGTATATTACTTGTCAGATTGAAAATCGTTAGATAATGGGAAACCGAAAAATAATACCCTTTATTTCAGGTTCCTTGAATTTCCGCATTTGTTTTGGAGTTGGGTTTTTGTTTTTGTTTGATAGTTTCTGTGCTGCTGTGTCAGAAACGCAAAATAAAAAAGAATTTTCTCCTCTTCAGCCATTTTAAAGACGCGACCAACCACTAGGCCCTGGTATAGGGCTCTTGATGCACATGTCCGCTTCACTGCATATTGCAGCTTAAAAGTGTTTCATCACTGGGAAATAAGTTTTTTTCACATGTGCACCATCTTATTTCCAGTTGGTTGCTATTCAATACATGAGGACACTTTGTGACGATTATTTGTTGCACTGTAAAATGAGAAACTGAAAAACTCTTTTATTTACTTTTAGCACAGTTGGCATCTTCGTTCAAATTTGTCTAAGAAACAGTCAAGCAAAATGCTTTACACCAAAATCCACGTTCATTAGGTTGTGAAAACTTGGCACAGAAGCAGGAAAGTCATTACCCGTAAATTCAGCTGTGATATTCATTGCCGTCTCCATGGATAAAGACCTCGAGACGGTACACATCACTGGTTAGAGACATTTTCAGACATGGCAAGTTGCACCTTCAGATGAGCTGATGCATCCGTTCTATTGCCTCCAAGGCATAGCTCCTCTCCCAGGCTGTCCAATGATACGTCCACTGACAACCCCGTATTTGCTGATCAATTATATCAGCTACCACCTCTAATGCAGAACAATCAGCCCCACCTAACCGAATCATTGGTAGATGAAGCTGTGGCTGCTAGAACCAATGTACGACAAGTACGCGGTTTCCACATCTGCTGATGATGACGATTAGATCATTTGATTATATTTTCAACAACAGTCCGACGAAAATATCAACACGAAGAAGCGAAAAACCATAAATTCATCTTAATTATGTGTTGGCAAAATGTTTTTGATTATTTTGGATTGAACCACTATTTATCCCAAGTATTTTATATTGAAATGTTCTATGGAAATTCAAAGTTCAAATATGAAATCAGGATATATTCAGCTGCATCAAACTTTTTAAACGCCCTAAAATACTCTGATTTCTTTCAAGGTACAACACATTCTTTTTGGGGGAGGTGTGTTATAGCTGAACCCGACACCATTCTTTGAGAACAAAGTTAAGAATTTTAGCAGTCGTCCTATTATGCTAATGCAACTATGATCAGTAAGAGGTTTTTTGCTTAAATAGTGTCAGCTGTTGTCAATGTACGGAATAAACGCAAACCCCTTTTCCATTTTTTTCAAGAAAAAATTGCACGTGAATCGTAGATCTATTTGAATAACTTGACTGAATACGGGCGTGAAAACAGGATGACTTCTCTAATCTTGCAAACAACATATAACTAGAACACTTGTGTAGATGCGTGCAGATTGAATCATTTTTTCCGAAAATAAATTAGACGTGACCTCTACCCTAGTTTTGCATCCTATTTCAAACTTGATTAGTTTATCCTACCACACTTTGCACTTATCAAGACTTCGACCTGTTGCAACTGACATCAGGAAGAAAAACCTTATTATCGAAAGTTGTGACTCTGAGGCTCATTTTGGGAGGGCACGATGCGGACTACTACTGACTGAGAAGGAAACCACTTACTTCGTCACTGATCTCAAAACATAATTTAAACAAGTTATTCATGAAAACGATTCAGTTAGCTGCTTCATGAAACTCCATGAGTACTAGTAACATAAGACGCGCTGCCGTTAATCCACCTGGAAAACTGAAAACAGAGCCAGGAGAGCAAAATACCATACACAACTGAAAAAGCTAATAAAGATTGGAAATCCACGTGGGGGTTAAGTTTAATCGACCAGACCCGATGTTCCTAGGAAAAGAGCAAGATATCTATATTTTTTTAAAACCGCTAAAGCAAAAACATCTGAGTGTTGTTTCGAAGGTCTGAGGGCTATTAACTAAAAACAAATCCGGTCAAAACCAAGACGGACATAACTTAGTTAGTCTGGCTGTGTATTGCTGACGAACTCACTACTGAGGCAGACTGAGTTCCATGACTTGAAGTTTCTAATCACGCGCGAGCAGAGTGCATATCCTCTAAACAGGTATACCCAGAGTTCCCACGGGCTTTCACTCTATTTGTGTATCCACGTCACTGTCTTTCACTGGCATGTTTAGCACGTAACATTATTCGGTAGACGGTCTGCTGTATGCCACAGAAAACATGTTACTAATGGCGCTGCAGATTGACCAGACCTTTTTTACAATTGTTTGTATGGGCCTCTCCCATGCTCGTTTCTAGGCATGATCCCGTAACACCACAAAGATGTATCTCATCTGATACATAGGTTGTTATAACTTGAAGAACATTGCTTGTACGTCGACGGTGCATGCACTAACTTCATCTGTTACAGTGCAGGTAAGGGTTGTGCTGCTACGAAGGTAAGTAAGCTTACCAACCAACTCAATCACTCTGAAATTAACATGTAACACAATGAATCGGGAAATCTTGAGACACGTCTGAACATTAAACAAGCAAGTTACTTACAAAAGTAAAGGACTCTCCTGAATATCCCACCTAGATCAGTTTGACGTTTCGCCAAACAGCAGACTAATGAAATCCAAACAATACAGTTCCACTATTCTCTCTCCATATGTGATTTAGGTACCCAAATCCATTCCAAAACGAACTTAAATGATGCGTGGCACAAGTTTCCTGGTTACCAGAAATCAGTGAGAGAAAACACAAAACAGCAGCTCCATAAACGCATGTTGATTGTTAATAAAACGATCTAAAGTGTTCAGGTTCCTACCCTCAAACAACTCTCGGGGAGAATCATATTGATAACTGTACTGTTAGTTTGTCTACGTGTCTTGCACTCAGCTAATACTGACTGAATCCGACCATAACGCCTTTGAAGTTTCACGCAATAGTTAGTTTTTGGTTGAGCATCCAACTAAGTACTAAAACCAACCCTCTGTAGGCAGCATGTCATGAACAAAATGCGTTGCAACCATCTAGTCTTAATAATGCGTTTGGAACAGAATACGAACCCCGACTAAACTGTGTTCAGTTGAGCTAATGATACCAGAATCTTCCGGTCGTAAACCAGTCTTATGTGTTCCGTCTTCTGATCATGAAAGTAAGGTAGAAGGATAGCTCTGTATCATTGACCAGCATCTCCTTCTTATTACTCCACTAGAGCGCCATTAGTGGTTTTCTGGAACCTTGTGCATTTTATTCTGTTGTAAATGCTCGTTACTTATACTCTCATTGGTCATTGACGAATCTATGTTTTAGTGCTCAAATAGCTGGAATAAGAATCAGTGCTAGTTTTGATCATTCTTATTTTGTCGCATCATACATGTTAAACCGGGAAGGAGTTCATTTAACATACGTTTCCGCTGACTTATTTGTACACAGATTCGCATACGCGGTTTGAATCTCACCATTTGGCCCGAACAGTTGCTCAGTGGAGATGTGAACAAATCGGACTCCAACAACGCAGCTGTAATCAGCTGCCTGGCTGACTCCAAAGACGGACGGAATAGCCGGCATCATGTCCTCTTTCGCGCTGAAAATTGCGACCAATCATCAGACGAAGATCAGCGTAAGTAGACGCAGGCTTCATTTTTTCCAAATGCAAATTTCATGAATATTTCGCATGTTAGTTGGGTGCCTGGGTTTGACACATTTGGCATTTTAACCATCTGTTCAGACTTAATTTGTCTTATGGAATCTTCTACTATGCATCTATGTCGAAAAGCTACACCAGTTGAAAGCAATTATGTGATTTACTAAAATACAAAAAATATGCGGGGTCGGCAGAAACTGTTGTTGCTTGTGGGATATCTTGGGATATCAGATGCAGAAATATCACAGAAACACTGTACCACTGGTCAGTGAAATGAACTGACGGTCACTTTTGTTCAACAGTTACAAGAAACTAACAAAACTCCACATGTAATGAAGGGTGGTTAGGGGTTAAAGTCATTCTCAACTATAATCACACCATGGATTGATGTTTGTCTTATTAGAAAATGTCTCGGAGATTGACTTCTGTTCCCATAGTACCAAGAAAGTGTTCAGATTTGTATGGGAGTTGTTTGAAATGGGATTAGGAGGTTTAACTCGGACGGCTGGGATCTGCTTCCCCTTGAAGGCCTCGTGTGCCAAATAAACGCTTGATAAGCAAACGTCTCCCAACCAGCAAGACGACTCACATAGTTTGTTGTGAATTCACCAGGAAACTGTAAGATTTCCAGTTCGGTTGGATGATGGACTGATGAGTTGAACAGGAGGGGCTTCTAGATTATTCTGATATTCAGCAGATTTCCAAGTGGTTCCGTTTATTATTCACTCATGTTTTTAATCTGTAACCGTTAGTTCTGCACCCCTGATCAAAGTGTGAGTTGTTAGTATGCGAATTCTCAATTTTCTTTGTGTTAATATTCTATTCATGATACGATATCCCCGGCAGATAAAGAGGACCGGTCTCTCCTGCACCTCTGACCATAGAACTAACCACCATTTCTCTTTCGGAGACGCATGTTCATGGTTTACGTTTACACGGTAGCAAGTTCTTAGAGGCAAATTCCTTCTACCGGCTTTACCATAGTTCTACCATTGCTGACCTTACAAAGCTTGCACATGAAAAAAATACTATCCACGACGTTAATGTTTCCATAAATGGAAAAAACATTTCCGGAAATCTCCCCACATTATCTAGCAGCTGAACTCATCTGAGCACCTCTTCCTGTGTTGAAAGTCCCTTTGGAAAGCATGTCTTCAAATGAGCTGTAAAAATTGGTCAACTCCATAACCATCTCAATTATTCTTATGAAATCCTGTAAGTAAAATGTTAAAATATTTCTCAGTTGACAGCACTTGTTACGTTCTCGAGATTTCCAAACCAAGTCTAAGTGGCGAAGACGGCAATTACTTGATTAGCTTTGCTTACTTCAATCATTTTAAATAAAAGTAACGCCTATTGCACGGCGGTCAAGTAAATACCTTATGCTAAGACTTATTACAGGATATAAATCCAATTTGCATCACAATGTTTTTACGCGTGATTCAAAACTCGGTTTACCAAGCATCATAAGCTATCCTAGATAGAGAACTTTAACGTGACCTAACTATAAGACCCAAGTTTGAGAAAAGTTGACCACTTTATCTACTATCAGGTTGTTACACTGTGTTTCAAGTTCAACCCACGTTCACTAGAGAGTCTTTACTGAATCTCAGGACGTCCACAAAAGAGACCACTAGACCAGAACCATAAAGGCATCCAAGGCTCTCCAAATTTATCCACTCCGAAATGTAGAAGCAGTGGTTTCACTTGCAAAAACAAAATACCGTGCTGGGTATCTTCCAGAAATAACATACATACATTTGAATGGATAAAATGAAAAATTCACGTCATTGCCATGTGGCCCCATCTACCTTCAGTTGCTGCGAACGGGACAAGGCGCAGCGTCATTTGCATACAAACTTTTCAGGACAAAGAAAGAAACATAATATCGAATTCAAAGAAGGGGGAACATAGAGGTGAAGATAGCAACTGGAAAGTCATATTTATGTTTCTTTCACTAAATTCTGCTGAACGAATGATGTCAAAAGTTTCCTTATGTGTTGAGGCAAATCCCTGCCCGAACCCAAGAGACACAAGAACTGCCGAGCTGCCAGCGTGGTATATGAGTTGTTCAAGATATTTCCTGATCGATTAGTGGATTACATCTTACAATCAGATTACTCTTGAATAAACCAAACATCCAATTTCTAATGCACCAACTATCTCCTAGTTTTTAACTTCTGCTAACCACTAAATCCGGCAAGAGTGACCATCATGAGCGCTAAATTCACTGCCAAATTGCATGAGAGCGTTTGGGTATCCGTCAAAGAGATAACATGTCAGCTTCCTTCTGTGCTTTTCAGTGACCCTCGCGCTCTGCAGTTTTCCTTGAGGTCAGATAGATTCTATGATTTTGGTCTCGGTTGGTTGTTTCGATGAATATCGTACACATTAGCACTTAGTAACACATGTACAGCCTGCCGTCTACCATTTGGACCAATCTGTCTCGCTTCTTTTATTGAAAATGAATGCGCACAAAATACGGTTCTCCTGGCTGACAGATATGACGCGATGACTGCTCTGAGTACTTGACACTCGCAAATGATTAACCAAGAGAGTATTTCGAGAAAAACTTATCGCGTAGTAGAACTGCTGAAAAATTTCTCCTTGAACAAAGCTGTGCGCGTAAATTGTGACTGTATTACTTTCTTGGCGTACTTCTGTAAGGCAGGGCCTTTGAAGGTTTTGATATATCTGCTTGCTGCATATATGATTGAAATACCTTGGGAAAACACAGTGTTCTATGACTGTATTAGAAACTGCCGCCAATATAATCAGTGCTTCTACAATTTTCAATAATGACAGTGACGACAACCTTTCAACTGTGTCTGCTTCTATGGCCCTTAAAAGAATCACACTCTCTAACTAGAGAGGACTACTGAAGAATTGGTTAACAACAGTTGTGGCTAAAATTGATTTTTTTGACTCCATGTAGTCTGTATGATCGAGACATAGAGCAAGATTGCAGAAATGCTACCGTCTGGTCATAGAGAAAGCCGCAGTCTATGGGGAGTAGGAATTAAGGTCGTCTCAGGAAATATGTCGGCCTTCATTAGGGGAAGTTAACAAAATACTGGTATGAAGTAAGTTTTAGGAGGTCCGCGACTTAAACTAGTGTTGGCAATTAAGTTACTTGGGTTTGTTCTTCTTCCTGATTGTGAACGGTCTTGGTATCCCCAATCCTTTCTGGTTTTGCCTTTTTTTACTTTGAAGTATAGCTTTGGGGTCCATCTAGTGTAGTTGTTGACTACTTTGTTCACCGTGCTTTGCAGTTTTTTTATTTAAATGTTTGGGTAATGAGTGACCTATCTTCGTCAGTGTGTCGCTGAGTAGTTGTGACTTGTAGTCTGGCGTTGGCCAAAACACCACAAACTACAACATGTGGCCACCCAACTACGCACAGGTGATCTCAAATGGACTGATGGCCGATCCTTTGAAAAAACGACTGCCGAGGGTAGCTAAACATTGGTTCCAGTTGTGTTGATATGGTAATCCATGTAACTTTCATAGGTCGTCAATGCTCCTAAAACTGATCTGGAGCTCATTTATCTCCAGTGTTGAATGTTTACTAGATTTAAAATATCCTTCTTTCTAAATCCATCTGATAGACTGAAATCCTGCTCCTCCTGTGGAACAACTCAAATAAACCCATTATTTCAGATTCCTTTAAAAGTAGGAAAAATGAACTCGTAAGCGTCCGAAATTTCGTCTTAATCAGCTCCTGTGAATTTGAGAAACGCTTCTCGTATAACGGGACGACGAATGATGGTCAAATAATTCATAGCATTGCCAAGGACGTTATTGATAAATTGTTTACGCTGAGTTTTCCAGACAAAATCAGAATAAAGCTTGTCACAGTTTCTGAGGTTAGCATTTTATTCTGATGCCCTAATGAAATGGCAAGTAAATTGATCGAGGATGTTTCAGTGTCTCGTGCGACATTGTTTGACCTTGCACAAAGTGGCTTCAATTTTTACTTCTGTTGACAAACACTAGTGCTAAAGATCACATTCTCCACCCGCATATGGTTGAGTAACCTAAAACCGGGATTTAGTTAGCCTCCTAGATTGAATTTCAGATAGACCTCACGTGTCAACAAGACTTAGGTAGAGATCGCTCAATGTATGAAATTACCCCAACGAGAGACTCCGTTCGTGTGTGAACATGCAGAATATTTGGTTCACTCCCCTCGTATCATCAGTAAGTTCCGCCGCATAAATGTGCTCCCCTGGTCAGACACCCAGCTTATATCCCAAAAGCACATCACCACAGCTCTTATACAAAGACGCAGACTTTTATTTAGCAAAATTGAGTAAGTGACTATTCTGGAACAAGAATAACGAAGCGGTAATCCTCAGAAGTGAATCGAAATGACGGATGAAGCATACGTAACAGAAAGCCATCTAAATCTGTCTAGATTAAAACGTGTCATCGCGTCATCTTTTTACTCTGTTCCCGTCCATTTTCGGCATTTGGTGATCTCAAAGCCGGTTAATTGAGGTTTCATTTTTATTCAGCCTGGAACAGATTGGAATAAGTGTGGGCAACCTGAATGGTCCCATAATTTTGTCGCATGCCTTTTTGTCATAGTTGTTGGCGCCTAATGCTACGTTCAATCGGAGGACATTTCCGCGGAGTTTTAATTTCAATGATAGCGTACTGCGCAGACCAAAAGCCGTAATAGTTCCTCACTGGTTCCACTATTGAAATTTTGCAGAATATTTCAAAGAAACAAAGAGGGTTTAACTGATGACGCAAATCAGAGTTCAGCTGGGTTCGTTGGGCGCATCTCACCTCATATATTGATTGAACACAGAAGGCGTGCTTACATTCGTTTATTTTATTTCAACAGATTAGTTGCTCATGAAATCCCAGTGAAATTGAAAAACGTCACATAAATCCATTGCCCGCAACCAGATAGACTGAGCTAGTGAATTGGTGCCAAACGCCCTAACATGAGCTAGCTTAACTTTTAA